AGCGACTGCTCATTTAGCGACTGTTTCCAGTTATGATAGTGATGAAAAAGTAACTTTGTGACCAATCTTTGCATTTATGACCTTCACAGGTCTGGAAGTAAAGGAAAGCTGAAGTAAGATCTTAAGCAGAGTCAGAGTCTCACTTAGTGACTGCTTCACTTAATGATCAAGTTGCTGGTCCCAACTGTGGCTTCTAAACAAGGACTACTTGTACAGGCACTGACAATCCATCACCTCTACAGCAGGTCCCATCATCACCCCCAAAATATCTCAGAAGACCATTGCCACCCCTCCTCCACTATCTTGGGGTCATGGTTGGTGAAGGCCATAAACCTGGGAAGGTATATCTCAGATAGGGCAACTGCTCCATGCTCGCCCAACCAGGATTTGATAATACATACCAGTGTGTTCAATCGTTTACAAGCAAGTCATGGATTTGATGTTTACCAGGGCCAGCCTGAGATCAAGGCCTTGTGGACTGGCTACCTGGACCCAGGAGTGAGGTCACTGAACTGGTAGCAGAAACTAGCACCCAATTGCCAACCTCCCTTCCTTGGAAAGCCAGCCTGATGCCTCCTGTTGTACCTTCACTAATCTGTCATGACTAAAAGTTGCCTTCTGTTCAACCTTTCTCCTCCACACCCTCCAAGTACTACCCTTCCACCTACCCACTGGCTATGGGAGCCATCAGAAAGTTTAAAAAAGGGAAAAAAAGAGTAATACGTATCCATAAGGACCACTCATAGTCTATCCACCATTTCTTCTTTTCTTACTCTTCTATTTCCAAAATATTTACGTCAGCATTTTTCCATCCTGTACCCAAGACAAGAACAAATGCATCTTGCAACATCCCTCTTTTTACCCTTTACTTACTTTGAACAGTGTTACAGTGACACTGTAACATAGGCTGAGCAGGAAGAAAATCAAGAAAATCAAGGTGGTAGTCCACAAATGCTTCATCTCCATCTCTTTCTTTATACTGTAATTGTTCTCAATTGACACAGTTGCCTCTGTGAGATGAGAAAGAGATGTCAATCCTGGGGTTGTTCATCAACATAAAATATCCAGCATCCACTCCCCCATCAACTGTTTCATCATAAGCGTGGAACCTTTATATCCATAAATCTGGCTGTAACACAATGGGAATTCTACCATGATGGAATTCCATGGTGAAACTGCTTAGCCATTAGAGAGGTATGGATATCCTCTAAAAATCAGTTTTGTCCATTGGATTCCATCTGCTTCAATTGATTCTGTTGTTTTTTATGCCTAATGTAATATAAATGCCGGTTATCGGTGTCCACCAGCATTTAACTTGGTTGTGCCTGGTCTCTGGTTGTTGTTGTTGTTGTTGTTATTATTATTATTTCTTTCAATGTAATGTAGGCAACAAAACATATGATATAGACAGGGATGAATGAAATGTCTATTTATAAGATCAGCTAGGATGGGTTTATTAGTAGGTAGACCCAAGTGTGGTCATATTTAGAGCTGACTTACATCAACCCGTGAGATTGTAGTGTCTTGATTAACTTAAATCTTGTTCATTTTCATGAATCTACTCCAATCACTTCTAAACTTAATTTCAATACGGTAAACATTGCCTCACTTTTGTAATGGTGATTTGCTGTAAGATCCTTATTAGGGGATTCTGCAAAGTATGGTTCAAAGAAGATGTGATGGTGCAATCAAAGCTTTTGTGTGCGACACACATAAAGAACAGTAGGGCTTCAATTGTGCCACCATGACCGCCATCTTGACTTTTTAAATCATATTCTGCAGATTGTAGCCATCAGTGTAAAATATCGAGCATCCACGATTGTTATCATGGATTGTTATGTTAGCATGATTGTTATTCTGGTTGTCTGGAGGGGGGCCAAGAAAGCAAATGACAAAACAAGCATGGTGACATCATGATGCAAGCAAGCTGCCATCTTGGAGCACAAGTAATGTGTCGTTTCATCTTTCTTGCATCATCATGCTTTGTACCAGACATCTATGAATCTTGGCTGCGACTTTGGTGCTCACTCTTACAGAGAGTGATTTCACTTTGTTGAAATAAATGGGCTCTCCTAACAATAAAGAGAAGTTTACTCCAAAATCTGGTCATCAATTTATTTCTGGCATAATGAATTTGTCCTAGAGTATCTGCAGATGATCACTTTCCATGTTTTTTTCAGGATTGTACCTGGGGACTTGTTTATGGATGATCTCTGAAGATGTTAACTGTAGCTTGATGAGCAAGCTACAGGCCAGTCTTTGCTAAGTCTATCAGTGTCAAGAAGCCACTGAAAATGTCTGGGTGGGATAATAAGGTGATACTAGCAGAAGGAGAATAAGTGAGTCCAAATGAATCTATTCCATCACAAACATGACTAGAAAGACCACCCAGGGAGCTTCATCATTGAATAGAGATTTGAAAATAGGCCTCCAGTTACCAAAATTTAGAATAACCTGTTCAGATATGTGGTTATCATTGACTCAAATAGTGCAAAATTTATTGTGAACACAAGAGGAAATTGATGTTTTCCTTTCATGGATGATGATAATTAATCACAAAGTCACAACTATGGCAATGAAACTCAG